AGTGCGCGGACTCTAATCTGGGAGAACCGGGTTTGATTCCCCACTCCTCCACTCGCACCTGCTGATGTGACCTTGGGTCAGTCACAAGGTCTGGCACAGCTGTCCTTGAAAAAGAGCAGTTTGTGTCAGAGTTCTCTCAGCCCCACCCACCTTACAGGGTGTCTGTTGTGGGGAGGGGAAGGGAAAGGAGTTTGTAAGCCACTCTAAGACTCCAAGTGAAGGGCGGGGTATAAATCCAATCTCTTCTTCTTCTCTTTATCTTGGAGAAACGACGGCTGAGGAGTGAAATGATCAAGGTTTATAAGATTATGCATGGGATAGAGCAGGTCGAGAAAGAAGTACTTTTCTCCCTTTCTTACAATACAAGAACTCATGGGCACTCAATGAAATTGCTAAGCAGTTGGGTTAGAACAGATAAAAGGAAGTACTTTTTCACCCAAAGAGTGATTAACACATGGAATTCACTACCACAGGAGGCAGTGGTAGCTACGAGCATGGACAGCTTCAAGAGGGAACTGGATAAACATATGGAGCAGAGGTCCATCAGTGGCTATTAGCCACAAGGTATAGATAGGAACTCACAGGCTGGGGCAGGTGATGCACTGTATTCTTGGTGCTTGGTGCTTCTAGTGTCCTGGCCCCACTGATGGACCTCCTGATGGCACCTGGTATTTTTGACCACTGTGTGACAGTGTTGGACTAGATGGGCCATTGGCCTGATCCAACATTGGCGTCTCTTATGTTCTCTTATATTCTCATGTTCTGACTTTCTTTTTATGATGAAAAACTTGTAGGGATTGACTTGCAGAAATGAAAACCTAGGTTTGGTTCTCATAGCTTGAGCATTCTGGAGAAGAACAAACAGGTGTTATTTGATACAAACGATGTTCCTGGTAGGCTTACATATCCTATTTACTCAAAAGGTGACAACCCTGAATGTAAGATTTACCCCCCCCCCAAAAAAAATAAATTATACACAAAAATGTAGTATTTGACATAACTGTAGCTTGTATATGAATGTAAGGAAATCCCCCCCCCCTCCTTTAGTGGCATACCTGGAAAAAACGTAGTCTTGCATTTGCCCTGCCCTGGCTCCGTAACCCTTGCAGAGCGTAAATACAGTGTGTTTCCCTGCCCTGGCTCCGTAACCCTTGCAGAAAAGCAGAGAGAAACCTTCCAGCCAGATGCTGCTCCTAGAAGTAGAATGTTGCAATAACTGTCAGAAGTCTGTCCCTCGACAGACAGTGTGGCTCTACCAAACAATGGCTCTTTATGAAACAGATACAGTCACTGAGACACAGTAATGTTCTTTTGATGTGTTGAAGTTCTGTACAGCTGTTTCCCTGGTTTCTTTATTAGTTCGTAAGCACCAGGGTAACTCCTATATAGGACCATTCAGGTGTTTGAAAAACAGCATGCTAAAATGTATCAGTAGAACATAAGGCTTCAGAGGTAGTGGTCTACGAGTAAGACTTATTAGACAATTTCACACTGTAGTTTTTAGCCCTTCTCTGCAGTTAATATACATTTGACCTATGGACTCAGTCAGTTTTTCAACCCTTTTGGAGAATTTTCAGTCTCCCAGTGCCTCTGTTGCACATAACTTCTTCTCCATCCAAGAGATATTTTTCTGCAGTTTTTATTAAAAGATATGTATTGTTAAAGCAGATGTGTAAAAGCCACCCTATGTCTGCTTGCTCAGGCATTGCTGCTATCTCCCTCCCCTTTATTAAATGTCTAAATGTTTTGGCTTGGATCCAGAGAACAGCAAATCTAGGTCTTTACTAATTCTGATTGCACCCCCCTCTCCACTTCAAAAAGCCACTGGGGAGGTCATGGAACCCTAAGGAGTGGCATGAGTTCTAGCTTGTGTGTGCACGTTGCAGTAGAAAAGAAGAATGGGCAGACATATCACATTCTCTTGTCCAGTTTACTCAAGAAACTATGCAAGAAGCACAGTGATTTCCACCAATTCCTCTGCAGTGCCATGTTTTTCCTGTTCTCTGCCTCTCAGAAATGGCTTTGGGGGATCAGGGTAGGCCAGTGCAGAGGACTGCAGTGGGAAAAAGGAGGAGGGGGGGAACTGTTTCCTGAATGAATTCCAGTTTATAGTTCTCAGGATCAAAGCCTCTGGTTTTACCATACAGTTGAGGGCAGAGGTTAAATGCATGCCTCTTCTTTACACCCCTCTCCCCACAAGTAATAGAGGAAGGGGAGAGGGCACAGTAGTATATTTATATTTTCTTCATTTATAGTCTGCCTTTCTCATTAAGACTCTGATGAGCCTCTGCTAGAGATTTGCAAATACACGTTTCTATTGCCATAGTCTGTATAAGCTGTTGTACTCTTTCAGCATGTTTTCTGTTTCTTTCAGGTTTGCCTATTTAGATTTAAACTGTATAACTCATAGATGTTAAACCGTTGTTCCTTTGCATATTCTTTCCTGATCTTAATCAGTCCCTCTGGCAGTTCTGGCTTCTGTGGTAGAGAGAGCACACCGTTTCCTGCATGCTTTCACTTCTAGAGCAAACAGAAACCAGTTTTCATCATTGGGGAAAGGGTTCAAATTTCCCCCTTTCTCCTCAGTACAACTGCCCCGATCCAGTTAGGTCCAAATTAAAAAAATGTGGGACATGCAGTCACATATCTCCAATGTTGATCTAGTTTGGCCCCCTTGGGTATTTATAATATTTGTATCCTCTTTCTTCTGATCAATTTAATTCAAAATAGCTTACTTCAAACCTGAAAACAAATACCAAACTTGCATCAACAGAAATTAAAAATACTAAAACAGTACATAAAAGCAAGAGATGCTGTACTGCAATAATCCAGTCTGGGAATGATGAATCGATGAGAGAACAAATTTTGGGAAATATTAAGCAGTCAGTCAGTTAGCCTTTATTGGCATAAAACAATACCTTAAAAGAGGATTACTATAAAAATATATAAAACCATACATATAAAACCAAGTATTTTGCAAACTACATAATATTGCATAATGTTACATAAAACAATTTGTTACAAACTGTTGCTCATTTTGATAGTTTTTCCTGATGTAGCTTTATAGCTGATTGAAATATTAAGTAATTAATAATGGCAAATCTTCCCAAAGAATTGAAAAGAAAGATCAAATATAAGATCAAATAAATAATTATAAGAGCTTTGAATTCTGCTTAACACTGTTCAAAGAATAAAAGACAACTCTGCAACAGAATGATTTGTCCTTGAGAGAAAGAAATAGTGAAAACCACCAAGCAATAAGTTGAGTTACAGATGGTTAAGGATGATGCAGTGCATTTGTTTTGCTCATAAAGTTTTATGGATAATTCAAAATAAAATGTTAAATTTGAAATGGCAGAATAAATGAGAAAAATGCTTGGATACATCCCAGGTGCTTGTATCCTGCACGCAAGATAATCCACAATAAATTGAAGATCTGGAGCCACAGTATCAATTGCTACTTAAGTTTTCTGAAAGGAAATTCACAAAAAAGCAGGAGCTGGGACGGGAAAAACACAGAAAGCATAGTGGGCTCCTATAGGAGAAAGCATTTCCTAAAGACTGCAGCCCAACCCCTGAGTTTTGGTGCTTCACCGGCTGTAGAACTGCCGTTTTTGATGCTTTTTCAAAGGACCTGTTGAGGCTCATATGCATACAGCAAGGGTGCTGTGTCTGATGCTTATTTTTTGCACCCACTCTGAGTAGCAGGACAGCAAAATAAGGTTACTGAGTGGTGAATAGGATTTAACTGGCAGGTTCAGAGAATGGAATCAGCTGCCTAGGAAGGTGGTGAGCTCCCTCTCACTGACAGTCTTCAAGTAGTAGCTGGACAAACACTTGTCAGGGATGCTCTAGGTTGATCCTGTATTGAGCAGGGGGTTGGACTAGATGGTTTGTTTGGCTCCTTCCAACTCAGTGGTTCTGTGATTCTATGATGTGTTTCTCTTCCTGTCATGTGACCCTGTTACCAATTGTGTGCTTGCATCTCAGTGACTCCCTGCTGCTACTTGGGAGTTAAAGGTGAGTCCTAGGTCTGGAAAGGTTAAAGACGAGTGACCAGGGGTACACTGGGGCCAAATTGTTACATATATTTTAATGTGAGGGATCACAGCTCAGTATGAGAATGCCTAGGTTGCATAGATAAGACTTCAGTATGAGAATGCCTAGTTTGCGCAGATAAGGCTCCAGGTTCATTCCTAGCATTTGCATTTACAAACGTCTTTTCACAAGGCTTTCGAGTGCTGCTGCCAGCCATTGTAATTGACTAATGGTGTAATTTGAGTCTTCTCTCTAAACAAGATACTGGAGTTCATTTTAAACTTTCTGCAATATTATGTAACAAACTTTCAGCCCATGTGTACATGATATTCCCGTGGCTGCTAAATATATTCTTCAGTGAACAAATTCACTTTTTGCATTTAGTGAACAAGGCTTCTTTTGCCATTGATTAATTCCAGTTCTTTTTCCTATCATTGATTCCCAAAACACACATGAAGCGGAGTTGTTTGTTACTGAGGCTTTCTGTTTTCAAAATGCAGCTACAGGGAAGTGGTATGTGTGTGTGTATTGGGGTTTTAAGGCTTTTGTTCCATTTGCTATGTAAAAGACAACTGGACTCTGGCGTGTGACTTCTGGTCTTCCTTTTGTGTTAAAGGGCTAGCAAAGCATTAATATTTCGAGTTGCCCTTATGGCAGCAGTGTAGGAGAGAAAGAAGCACATGCAGTATAAAATGGTGAAGCCCATCTCCATCAAACAGTGCACAGGTCAGTGGCAGGAATAACCCAGCTGCTTCTACAGGTCATGGTGTTGTCCATTGAGCTGCTGAGCAACTGCTGTTTGTATTAGATAAGCAGGAGAATAGCGGTTTCCAAGTTTGGGTTAAAACACAAGATCCTGTACAACCTACTGGCTTGTGCAAAACCCACAAGAAAGTTTGTGGCACATAGAAAAGAGGGAAAAAATAAGCTCTAAGCAAAAAGCACAAAGTTTGAACCTTTACTGTTTGAACCTTCACTGCTGCAGTATATGTTTATGGTGCTCTTGCACATAGAATTGTAAGAGGTCTTATTTTTTTTCTGGTATCAGAAGGTACTTGTGATACCCTTCATGAAGAGGCCAAAGAAGGAGCTCATGAGTGTATATGACAGCATCTTAAGCTGAACATTTTGAAAAATCTGAATAATTTTTAATTTTCCTTTCTGTTCTGCTTTGAAAGGTTAATGAAAGGTTAACATACTTTTAAAAATTGTTAAATACTATACAAATATGGTATTTAAATCTAAGAAATTAAATTAGCTGACTTGGGAAGGGCTTTTCTGTATAATTCCCAAGATTTAGACAGTAATACATGGCTTCACTATTACTTTTCTCTTGTTCTAAATTCTCTGGCAGATTAACAGGGTAGAGGTTTCCTCTCTGAGACCAATCTTTTCTTTGTTCTACTGATAAATTGTTTATATACTAGTTTGGCCATTCCTGCGTATTTAGCTGGTCTTATATAGTGTCATAAATGCATGTGTAGGTCATAAAATTGATAAATCATTGACATTGTTTATTTAATGTTTAAAGTGCATTTTTCAATTCTTTTTCCTTGCAGTGCCACATGATTCAAATGCTTTTGATTTTATGTTTAGGTTTCTGCCACATTTGCAGCAAGTTTGGTCACAAGTCCTGCCATAGGAGCACACCTGTCTGCTATATATGGAGATAGTCTGGTTGTGCTAGTGGCTACAATAGTGGCTATTATAGATATCTGCTTCATCCTGCTGGCTGTACCAGAATCCCTGCCTGAAAAAATGAGACCACTTTCATGGGGAGCACTTATATCATGGGAACAAGCAGACCCTTTTGCAGTAAGTTACTGTTTATGTTTATTATCATTAAAGAAAATACTTTTTGTTCTTCATAGGCTATGCATATGTATTTATCGATCCAAGGAACTCAGAACAGCATACATTGTTCTCCCTTTCTGTTTTTTTCCCTTGTAGCAACCCTGTGGTATAGGTTAGGCTGAGAGGTGAATGAGGTTCAAGCTGAGTTGCAGTTAGAACTTTGGTCTTCTAGGTCTTAGTCTAGCACTTTTAAAAAAAGAGTTTTATTAATTTTCCAAAAAGACAAAAAGAAAAGAAAAACAAAACAAAAACTACACAGAGGAAAGACTAGCATATAACAAACATGGAGCATATACTCATTATATCAGTTTACATTTTACATATAGGAATCATACCTTTCTGCACCTGTACCAGTTTTCTGAAAAGGGTAAATTAGCAGTTGTTGTAGTTCTTTGCAGATACTTCTCGACCCATTTACATAGTCTTAACCAGTTTTTCTCAAAAAAAAATTAATCCTCTTTCTTGTCCTGAAGTTGTAAAGTTAATTTGTCCATTTCCACCACTTCAAATAATTTGTAAATAATTTCTTCTTTTGATGGGACTTCTTCTTTCTTCCAATACTTTGCATATAAAATCCTAGCCGTGGTTATAACATGTATATTCATATAAACATCTGGTTTTTTAAAGCATTCTGGAATGATATTCAATAAAAACAATTCTGGTACAAATGATATAGTTTGTTTCTAACATTTTTTGTAATAACTCATGTATCCAAATCCAGTATTTTTTGTTATCTTACAAGACCACCACATATTATAAAAAGAACCAACATTTTGCTTACATTTCCAACATATATTTGACATGTTAGGATACATTTTTGCTAGATTTTCTGGTGTTATGTGCCATTTATAAAACATATTATATAATTTCTTTATAGGAAATAGCTTTTGTATATTTAATATTAGTTTTCCACACCTTAGCCCATTGATCTAGTTCTATGTTATGTCCCAAGTTTTGTGCCCAGTTGCACCCTTACCCACCAATTCAGGCAGATACCCTATCTTTGGAGAGTGTCTTGCGAGTTTACGTTATTTTTCTTATCCAGGAGATCTTCATATCTCCATAGTTGGTCTTTGGTAAATAAAATGGGATTAATAAAAGCTTCTAATGGAAAGACCCATTTTGGTATTTTTGTATAAAACAGTTTCTTGGCCTCTTCCCAAGTCTACAGTAATGCTGCTCTTATCATATGCTGTTTGAAGTATTTATGAATATTACTTTTCTCATACCATACAAAAGCGTGCCAACCTAGTTTCAAATCATAACCTTCTAGTTTTAAAAGTCTCGAATTTTCCAGCGTAATCCATTCTTTCATCCACGTCATGCCGGCTGCTTTATAATAAAGATGCCAATCAGGTACTGTAAATCCTCCTCTTTTCTGTCCTGTAATACTTTCATTTATATTCTGGGTCTTTAGTCTTGCCAAATAAATTGTTGTATCAGTTTTTCCACTTGTTTGAAATATTGTTTGAAATAAAGTCTAAATAAAACGTTCACCTTAACAGTAGCTATTCTTCCCATAAAGGATAGCTGTATATGTTTCCACTTTTCCAAATCTTTTTTAATTGTGTCCAAGAGCTTCATGTAATTATTTTTAACAATGAACTGCACCTGTTAGTAAGTGTTATTCCCAGATATTTTACTTTCTTTTGGACTTCAATACCAGATCTTTCTAGTAATTGTTGTATCTGTTCTTTAGTACAGTTTTTTGTTATTTTTGTTTTCTTCAAATTTTTATTATTTTAAACAAATAAACAAACAAACACATGAGAGTAATAATAACATCATTATATCTCTTAAACTACCTCATACATATATATCTAAATACCAGTCTTTCAACCTTATAGCCAACTAATAACTTTACAAGCCAATATTAAACACTACCTATTTTTTATGTTTAAGCGCTGTCAAAACATTTTATTACCATTTTCTATAAATCAAGATTTAAGTATATCTTAAATTTTCATAAATACATAGAACTATAATTTTTGCAACCCTATAGATTCACATACCATGTTTCTTCTATTTAAACATTGTCTAAGTATTCTACCATTATCTTCTATAAATAAATCTAAATATTAATTAAATTTATACAGTTCCCCAGATACATAGTCAAATTCTTTTCTTATTCTGTTTATTCTGATTGTTTTGATGTCTCCAAATAAATTCTCTAGTTTACCTCATGTTTCAATCTAAATTCTCTATATCAACCTTTTTTACACTTTTTAGAATAATCTTCCCTTTAATACAATTTTTTTAAACATACATGTATTTCCTAAACAATCTTCCCCCTTTACATATGCTCAAGTGATCCTTAAACCAATCCTTAATATCTTTTTAAATTTACAATTTATGCAATCCTCTGTAATAGGCCTTAGCTATTAGTTACAATTTTTAAATATACTTCTCTAGCCAATCTTATTCAAATAAACGTTCATAAGTGTTCTCTAAACCAATATTTTTATACAATTTGTTTTCTTACAATTTATAATATCACCTATTATAAGACTTTCTAAGCGATTCAAAATTAATCTTCCCTTAAACATTTTAATATGGGCTGTATTTTTGTAAATGTATAAAGAAAAGAAACTCAATTATAACCAGTGTTAATCAGTTACACATGTATAAGAATTTCCTAAACTGATTTTATCATTTGCAATTCTATGAACACATGTATGAAAAAAGGAGTTAGATATTCCCCAGCCCAACTTAGTCAGTTACACATAAACAAAGGTTCCCTAGACCAGTTTTATTTATAAAGCTTAATTATTTTCTTCTTTTTGTGGTTCCTTCTTTTCAATAGAGTCTTGGTTCTATGTCTCTTTCTCTTGTAGGTAGACTTCTTTTAAGACTCACCATCTGTATTCAATTTTTAATGTAGTAAAGGGCTCCATAAATTCTGTTTTATCTTCTCTCTGGAATATTTTTCACTTTATAGCTTTGAACATTTCAGAGTTTGACAGTCTTTTAATAGATCTGTTATTCTCACTGTAGATTAGGTCAGCTTGATTGTTGTTTTACATCTTGCACAGTTTGGTGCTGAGATTCCTTTTCTCTATAGTTTAGATCAAGTTGATTGTAGTGCTGTTCTGCATCTTGTACAATTTGGTGCTCAAATTCCTTTTCTCTATATGCTGGGACAGCTTGATTGTAGTGTTCTGTATATTGCACAGTTTGGTGCTGGGTGTCTAATATTGGTTCCAAAGCCTTTTTAACTGCCAGATTGACTGTATCAGCAATTATAAACTGAAGCTCCTCCCAGGACAACTGCAACAGGTTAGTCTCTGCAAGGCTATCTAAACATCCATCACCTGGCATTTTTTCTGTGTAACCTGATCACCCATTTTAATGGAATAGCAGAAGACCCAGATCAGCCCACCCAAACCCCAAGTTTCTGCAATTTTTTTGTCAATAGTCTCTTCAGAGCTGACCGCATTTACCAGCTAGTTGCTCTCATGGAGATATTAGCAATCAAGAATCCTTCAACATGAGTCAAGGGCTTTGCAGCTCATCAGCAGACTCTAGACATAACAGGCTCTTCCGTTCTCAGCAGTGAAGCATGACGTTATAAAAAGTCACCACAAAGTAACTAATTCCACTCTAAATATCTCTCTTTGTTTCTTTCTTTTTTCAAAGAAAGCTTTGTAATCCTTTTTATAGAAGCTCAAACAACTGTCCCTCTTTGCCCCAGGACGTGTTAGCTTAGCTTTCTTTTTGTAATTGTCTCAGCCGCTCCGTGGAGGAAGGAAGGAGGATTCCACCCCTCTTTCCTTGTCTTTTTTCCACTTTAAAGGGGCTTAACCAAAAAATTGTCAGTTTCTTCAGTGTTGCTCTTACAGGTACTTATGGTGCATATCTTCATCTGTGTTATGGATGAGGCTCAAAATAACTCTCTTAATTTGGGGCGTTCACAGCTGGTGCAGTTATGGCTGCCATAACTGCTCTGCTTCATTCCTTGTTTCTGGGACGATCCAGCGCTTTCACCTGCTTGCTGCCACAAGCGGGGGCCCTGAATCAAGTCCCCTGCACCAGACCTCCCTCCAGGAGGTCCAATGGAGTTTGGGATCCCCTGAATACTCCCCTAAAAAGAACGAAGAGGTGGCTGTAGCCAGGAGTGATTCCCGGTGCCAAGCGTGTCACTGTGCCACAGGCCCGGCCTCTGAGTGTGTTTGGAATTTTTAAAGTGGTTTCATCTTGGTGAAGGTGTTTAACAAATGTAACATGTACTTGCTTTGAACCTTTTAATTTATGTCAAGGAAGATCTAATAGTTAAATATATTAATGGGTTAGAAGACTTTTTAGTTTTGCTTATTTTTCATATCTCCCTTATAAATAAAAGCCGAATGGTAGTGGCACTTCTCTAGAACATTCCACACGCTCCAAAATCAGTTCGCTTTCTGATCTGTCTATCAGAGGGTCTCCCTATTCAGTGGCTGCTTTGCCTTAGTCCTGCCTCCAACATTCTAAACATTTTGATGTTCCTCTTCCCCCCCCCCCGATCAGAACACAGAGGCCGTTTGCATATACAACTTGATTGGCTTTTGCCTCTAACATTCTAAACACTTTGCTGTTCTGAGGTAAAATCGGTCCAATCTCCAGGTGAGGGCTGGAGATCACTCAGAATTACAACTGCTTTCCAGATGGCAGAGATCAGTTCCCCTGGAGAAAATGGTGGGCTCTGTATGACAGCCAATGTGACGTAGCAGTCAGGGCTTCAGAGCACGGGAGAG